ATCTGGAACAGGAGCAGTTAGTTACACTATAATTTCTCACATCACTTGAGTGGACCACAGTAAACAAGGGACTTCCCAATGCCTAGCATCGGTAATACTATTAACACAAGAAGTGTGGCTCTGAGAACGATCCCAAAACAGGAGAACACAGGACCTTCAACTCCAGTACTGTTGAAGTGCATTTCCTATCTATACAACCTTAAGGTTCATGGATCTGAATTAATGGAAGAAATACTTGGGGATTAAACTATATAATGAAGGCTGGGAATGGTGACCCACACCTGTAATCCCAACAAGGAAAGACATTTACTGAAATTCCATGTGTTCACTACTCATCCTTCTGTAATTACGAAGCAGAGGAAGTACTTTGAGTGCAAAAATGTAAAAACTCCAGTGGAATGGTTCTTTGGGATAAGAAGTTACTGAGCACTGAGTGAGGCACATTGCAAAAAGTGTGAAAAGTGTAACAGGGAAACCAGACACAGAATGTCCTCCTGGGTTAAAAACTAGAGGAGTAAGTGGGAATTCAGTGCAAGGGACAACAGTCAAAAAGAAAGGATGCAACGTTCTACACTGAATTCATTTTTTTAACATGTTAAAGGATTAATTACATTGGACCCTGAACACATGTAAACCACACAGCATTCAGGATTCTGCCTTGTGGGTGACATCATTTTCCTTTACTGACTCTCTGTGACGGTTGAATGAAAATGTTGGAGTAGGTGTGGCCTTGTGGAGGAAATGCATCTCTGGGGGCAGGCTTTGAAGTTTCAGATGCTCAAGCCAGGCCCAGTGTGGTACTCTTCCTACGGTCTGCTGATCTGGATATAGAACTTTCAGCTCCCTCTCCAGCACCAAGTCTGACTGTATGCCACCATGCCTCCCACTATGATGATAAGCCAGCCCCAATTAAATGTTTTCCTTTATAAGGGTTGCCGGGGTCATGGTGTCTCTTCACAGGAAAAGAAACCCCAACTAAGGTACTATCCTAAGAAAGGAACTTAGATATGGAAAGAACAGTCATTCAAAATAGCATGTGGCCCCATCCTATAGTACCTGCCTGCTAGATTTGAGACTTCATCCCTATTGTCTCATCAACAGTTTTTTTTTCATTTCCCATTGCCCTCCATTTAAACCTACATGTCCTTGCTTCTCTTTGAACTTTACTATCCAAACAGATATTTCAAAATATGGATTCCACTATTAGCTAGCTTGCTAGAGAGGACTCTGCCTGCCATTTATTTAGGGATCAATTCTTTCTAGTACTCTTCCAGTTTGACTTAAAAAAAAAATACATCTTAGTCTCCACCACTTTCTGACATGACGACAATTATTTGAATGTTATGCCAAAACATTGCCCCCATCTTTTTGTGACTGTAAATCTCTGAATAATCTCTTTAGATCTACCATCAGTATGCCTCAACCTCCTACCCTCACTTCAATCCGACCACCTCTAACCCAGTTCTTACATCACTAGAATGTGATACTTCTATAACACAAACATGAGCACGTCACTCCCTTTTTCAAATTCCTTCCTGATTATTCATTAAATGCAGATCTCAATCTGAGCTCCTAAAAATGGCATAAGATGCCTCTCCCCATAAGTCTATTCCCCATCTCAACCTGGAGCCTTCTCTCTGCAATTTTCTGCCTTGCCCTTTCAGATTCTGCTCTGGTCAAACCACTTGGAGTTTGCTTGCATTTCTCACATTCTCTCTGCATACATGTGCTTCCATGTGTCACCTTCAGGATCCATGAAAGACATCAGACTTCCATGGCAGCCTCTGCAGATACCCATTAAACTCTTCATATACTCAAATTCATGTTCATCTACCTTTTCAAAAAAAGAAGGTTCCTCTAGAGCTTATTAACTTTTATGCCACAAAATGTAGCATAGCATCTAAGATATAATATTATTCTCTGTTAAGCAAAGGACAGCACAATCTCTATGCTCTGCTAGAATTTATAACAAAATCTCATCCTTAATCTATGGGAACTACTTGCCGGGCATTCCTTAATAGCTATCTCACCTCTCTTCCTTCCTACAACATCTTATTCTGATGCTCCATTGGTTATTTTATCTGAAAATCTGGACCAACTCAGTTGGACTTCATGTTTATATCATGCCACCACTGCCTACAAAGTGACAGTGATGAAAAAAAAAAAAATCCACCCAGCCTGCTGCTGCTTCTACAGTTAACACTAACCAAAGAAATTCATTAAGTAGATTTATGAAAACAATTACCAAATGTCCTCTGAGGTCCTTCCCATACCGCAAGATGTCAGCATGGACTAGCTGAATAGCAGTTCGACTTTCCATACAGTTTTGTCCCCTGATTTCAGATCTTATCTCCAATACTTATAGAGCTGTCTAGTCATAGTTCATGGACAGTACAGGATTGCAGCCCATCAATAACCCTAGCCATCTTCCTGGTAAATAGATTCAATTCCTCCCTAGTCAGTTGGTCAGCGTGGTATTTTTTATCACACCCTTTTACACTGTAGACAGAACAGTTGTCTCATGCAGTATTAAAGCTGGTCTGATCACAAGTTCAATCCCATTAAATGATAAGAGAAAACTGCTCACCAGCTCCCAAATTAAAGAGCTATGATTAAGAGTCATCTCTGCCTCTCATAATTTAACTGAGCCACAGCAGTGAAAGCTTTCTGTTGAGAAATGATAAAGATTTTAACTTGAAAGAAAATTCTAAGTACATTGCTCTTGTTGTCAGAACTGCAGAGTTAGGGAAAAGAAAAAGAGAAATGTTCAATTAATGCACAACTGAAGTTCCCAGCCAAGGAATTCTGAGATACCAAAACATACATTCTACATTTCCAATGCAAGAGGCAAAAATGAGAATTTGCATCTGTTTCTAAGAAAAACGGTTTAAATGTGCAGGATTGATGTTTTTCAAAGAAGAGGAAGAATTTTGTACAGGAAGGTAAAGTCTGTGCTCATTCACAGTATTTTATTTTTTACTCTCCTGCCTAGAGCATGGTTGACCTTCCAATGTGCTGTCCTGACATCCCCCCAGCAGCCCCCTCAGCAACCTCAGCAGTGGCCACTCTCTTGGCTAATACTCTCAGCTTCCCGCCACTTTTACCCATAATTAGTCAATCAACTTCCACATGATTTTTTTTTATTCTATGTGTATAGATATGTTATCTATATGTCTCGGTGTTTTGTCTGTGTCCCACTCGTGTTCCTGGTGCCTCCAGAGGCCAGAAAAGCAGTTTAGACCCCCTGCAACTAGAGTTAGAGACCTGTTGTGAGCTGCCACATGGCTGCTGGTAACCAAACTCAGGTTCTTTGGAAGAACGGTCCGTGCTCTTAACTGCTGATCCATCTCTCCAACACTTACATAATTTTTATAAGACCAAATTTAATTGTTGTCTGTCCTTCCAGGAGCTTATTATGACACTCTTGCAACATTCTAGCCCGCCATCTTGCCAGCACAAACATTTTCCTATGCTCCTTTGTCAACGTCCTCAAATAGCTACAATAACTTAACGCACTTCAAAGATGTTTTGGAATCTGTCCACACCTCAGTATTAGACCAGAGACTAGATGAGAGAGAGCCATGGCGACTGACACAAAGGATTATAGAAGACAGGAATGTTGGCTGAATAAGCAAATACTCTGAAGGACAATGCACACAGTGGTACAGCATTGTGAGGCAGATGGCAGGTAATATTCAGTCTTTACATGGTAGTGAACAATTTCCTTTCCTCCTGTGAGACTTCACTTTTCTCACGTTTTTGAATAAGCATAATGGGAATGTGGAGTGTAGTCCAGTGGTACATACAATGCATAAGGCCTCGGACTCAAGCACAGCAATCAATCAATCAGTCAATCAACAAACATCAATCAACAACAAACTTAAAAGTCTCTTCATACAGGAAACTAGAAAACAGGAAGTGTAATTAGCCAGTTTATACTACAGGTGATTTTATGATGAAGCTTAAATAAAATAAAAAGATTTATATATGTTTACCTTAAAGTTGAAAAATTATTTTATAAAAAACTGCAAGTGCATAGGAGTAATAATATCCCATATATTTTAATCAGTGAATTTGCAAATGGATCCATCTCACAAAAGTAGTTGTTATATATCCCATAGTGAAAAGTAATGGAAAGGATATAAGAGGAATTGGAGGGGGGAGTTATTAAAATACATCATGTGCATGTATGAAATTTTAATACAATAAAAAGGCATACCATAATGTAGAATTTTTAAATAAAAATAGAAAAATATTAATTTTTAACTTCTATTAATTTACAACTATTTTTTTTTCAGTGATGACAGAGGGAAATTATCTTTAGGACATAAAGTAGGCCCTTCTCATCTTGTAAAGAGCAACCTGAGAGTGAAGGGGGGTGCTTGAGACAAGCAAAGTCAGCAGGCTGTAGGCTCACACCAAAGAATCAGGGTGCATTCAATAAATGTGTAAAATAAACATGAGTTCTAGCTAGTCTGACATTTAGACACTTCCACAGAAACTCTCATCTAAATAAAAACCAGAAGAATTTGTCTCTGTTACAATCTGGGTCTTAATTTAAAATTTTTATCACCCTTTATTTTCTTATTTTTGCCTATACAATACATGTAAGATAAATACTAAATGAGAGAAAATAAACTTAGATGCTTCTAACATGTAATACAGAAACGCTTCTCTGGCAACCAAGTGTTACATCTTTTTATACTCAGTTATACAACAAAATATATGGTTAAGGTAGGCGTGGCAATGCACAGCTATAATAGCAGCACTTCGGAGGCAGAGGTGAGTAGATCTTTGTAGGTTTGAGGCCGGCCTGCTCTATACACCTAATTCTATGATGGCAGTGCTACACGGTGAGACCTGCCTCAAAAGAAAAAACAAACAAAAAGATGTTAGATAGATAGATAGATAGATAGATAGATAGATAGATAGATAGATAGATAGATAGACAGACAGACAGACAGAAGATACATAAACTTTAGGAATCCATGATGAAATACCTTGCTTTCAGCTAACCAGCGATGTGGGTCATAATGTAGTTCAGGCCCAGAGGTAAATACCTACAAAAAGAGGAAAGAATGTTAGAAATAGGTTTTTTTCTGGTATGAAAGCACATAAATAAAATTACTGACCACAACATCCAAATAAATAGTCCTTAACTGTAAGGCTTTGAAAAGAGGAAGATTGTATCAAGTACGCAATCAATTTCAAAGCACAGTTATCAAGTGCCTATTATGCATTTATTTACTGGATGACAGCAGCCGGCCAGCTCAGACAGAGACACATAAGATGAGCTAGCCGTCAAGTGCTCCCCTCACTAGCCTCTGGAGTTGAGCCCATGAGGTCTCACCTGGCAAGCAACCTTGATTAAAGCCTGTTTGCTTTGCCTCTGACTTCCTCTCAGTGCTGTTCCAGTAATGGACTCCACAGAGGTTTAAATGTGCCTACAGAGAAACTTGATTCTGTCTCGTTTATCCATCTTTATACCTTGGGGTCCATTTGGTTTTATCAAAGACTGTAAAGAGCAGCTCATCAAAATAAATTTATGCAAACATTGCTTTATATCTCAAAACAGACAGAAAATTTTGTATTAAACTGTTGCCTATATTAGCTGCTCTGATTTCCTTTATACCAACTCATTTATAAAATCGCTCAACATCTGCTTTTGCCTTATTACTGAGCTAAATCTACACTCAAAAGCTGCTGATGTCTTTATAATTGTAAACACAAATTACATTATTCCCAGTTCTTCAAACTCAGTGCTACATAGGATATTTTTGCAGAACTTCTCGATGTGTTTTATCTAAAAATATCCTTTCTTTTCTAAAGAGATGTCTATTTCTACTCTCAAATGCTTACATATCTCCAGATGTATGTACACAGTTCTCTGACAGACTAACAGGAGTTAATTCGCTTAAATACATACTTAATACATTTTAAGTATCCACCACGTTCCACATACAAAAGTGTAGTACACCCAACACTCTTTTCTTTAAGTCTAACCCAGCTCTTCTGCTGGTTTGTTTGGTTTCACTTTGTCTTGGGTTTTGAAATGGGGTGTTGCTATGTAGCCGCGGCTTTTCTGGAACTGTGGACACCTATCTAGAGGAGGCTGGCCTCTCTTCTGCGGCTCCCATGCTAGTTTAAAGGCCTGAACCACCACACCCAGCTCTAACCTAAGGTTTAGGTGCTCCACCTTTTCAATCAGGCTTTCCCTAATTGCCCAAATTCTCTATTTCTTCTTCCTCTTTCAACAACATGCTATGCTGCTAAGTATCTGTGAGCACCCGTTTGTCACCATTTATACTTTCCTTTTCATTAACCAACTCCATGAAATCTTTACTACCTCAATCAAATCTTCCCTTTGGGTAATAATATTTATTTTGATATAATACAAGCAATGTCATGATTTGCTCCACAGATTTGCAAACGATTTCATGTTTTAAAGAACATCTTTCACCAGTTATAAGTGGCAGAACTACAGGTTATCAGGGTCATGGGACTAAGATACTAACATAAGGTCAAAGTATAAATCAAATACACAAGTGTTTCTATACAGTGGGGAACACAAAGCCCACTCAATGGACAACGATGACTGCCCATTAAGGTGCCATCATAGTAAAACTCAAGGAACTGTGACAAGAATGCTGTAACAGACCTGTGTTTAAAAAAAAAAAAAAAAGACAGGAAGAGAACCTGTATGTACATATAAACACAACAAAACACAGAATTACTTTCAGAGTGTATTAAAAGGGTAATTTGTTCCTATAGAGCAGTGGTTCTCTACCTTCCTCATGCTATGAACCTTTAATACAGTTCATGTTGTGGTGACCCTCAACCATAAAATTATTTTTGTTGCTTCTTCATGACTGTAATTTCACTGCTGTTATGAATCGTAATGTAAATATCTGTGTTTTCAGATGGTCTTAGGTGATCCCTATGAAAGGATTGTTTGACCTCCAAAGGGGCTGTGACCTACAGGTTCAGAACCACTGCTTTAAAGATACAAAGTATTTAAGAATGTTCCTGTCTATGATATTCATGTGTATTTTCTAACAGTTACATGTAACAAGGTTTAGTATGCATCTTATAACATGATTTACATGTTTTGGTTTTAATGATCATATATGACTGAAAACTACTCAAAATGAAATAGTTAAACATGGAGTAAATGCTACATTGCTAATATATGCTCCTTTGCATGAAATTAGGGTTTACAAGTCACATGTTCAGAGAAGCTTTAACATTTAAGAAAACAGCATTAGACAGGAAAAAGATAAGGCAGCATATAAAGACCCTATGGCAGGCCCAGACTCAGCTCTCCACTTAAACCTAACTACTGCTCATCTTAGTCTCACAGCCTTGTCACACTGTCTCAAAAGAACGAATAGGGAACTGCAAATTACAAAGTATCAACCAACTCTATTCATTCTACCAATTGAAATATTTGTAATATAGTTTAAGCCTTAGAAACCTTTTCCTGAAACAGTAGAATCATATCTTTATTTTCTTTCAAACATCACTTAGAGAAAAGGGAAGATAGGAGGAAAAAAATCATGAAAGTGGGAAGAGATCTCAGGAGAGCTCTGAGGAAGAAAGAATGGCCCAGCTTCAACATAATCTAAGTGCAATACCACATTTCAGTATGGCCATGCCATAAAATAAAATCAACAGCTGAACATGAGGCTCCAGCCTAATGTGTTAGGAGTATGTCATGTGAATATAGCAATGCCAGAGTCTACATTTGAAAAGCGTCTACCTTCAAGGAATTCAAACACCCATGGGACCCTTTTTATATGTCATCTCCTAACAACCATTAATTGAGAAACAATGAACCCATCTAAATACGGGAAAGAGTAAGTACACCAATCAGAACTCGAACAACAGGGAATGTGCAACCGCAAAGCGTTTACTTGATCGGGCCCCAGTCAGTCCACAGAGTTTCAATTCCTACTTCAGATTTCATTACACTGATATATAGGAGCAAGAACCCAGCCCCTCCAGGTGTGGTTCTCTTTTCTACACTAGATTTCAGGGAGCATTGGAGAGATGGGTTGATTTGAAGGGTTAAGGGAGACACAGTACACACCATACTTATCATTAAACCACTCAAGAAGAATTCAACAGCATCGCTAACAAGCTACCATGGTGGAAAATTCAGAATCCAAGCTTCTTGATTCAAAGGACGTTTCCTTGATCAATACTCCTGCCTCTTCGTTGAGGAGCTATCTCTCACTCAGTGAGACATAGGTAACTCAGTAGAACAGCATCACACTTTCACCAGGACTGTGTAGTAATAGTTTCTAACTCCTACGCAAAGCAAGAAGTTATTTTGTTTCATAAAACATTCTGAAATAAAAATGTGACTCCCATATAATCACATGTTCCAATCCCATTATAATTATATATTAGAAAACTAACTGAAAATTTAAGGTACAATGAGAACTCATAATTACTTTCAATTTCTCCACTGAGTCTTTGGAGAAAGTCTGACAAGCTGCATCAATTTCCCTTCCTATTACACCAAGAATAGACTCCTGTTCCGTCTCCAAACAAAGAAGTTGATCCTTGAGCTGCAGCCTGGCCTCTTCCATTCTCCGTAAGTGCTCTTCTTCATTACTTATATGTTTCTCCTGTAACGTGAGAAATAAAACAGAACCTTAGTAAGCAGACCCAAGACACAGCTACCTATGGACCAAACCTAAGAACAAGATTAAAAAACGGATATGAGTGGCCATCTCTTCACTTAGCAAAATAGATAGCTCATGAGAACTAAGGTATAAACAACTGACAAAAATACTATAAAAATTCTGGGAATAAAAGAAACAATGTTGAAAATGTCCTCTGCCATTTGACAAAATGTTGTTAGTGGGTCAGAGAAAAAGCTAAAACCACAAATTGATAATGGGTGAACCCTAAACATTCGTAAAATACCAGAAATATAAATTACCAAACACGGTGCTTGCTTTCACTGTGTTATCACCTAAATTCCATCACAAAATATTCCTACAAAGTTCTCATTTTTGAATGCCATCATGCTACACACATGCTTTTGAGACATGAAAATTCAATAAAGACCAAGATGGAAACACATTCCAAGTAAACAAATACATTTAATGAAAAGGTTTTTAAGGAGGTCTTGAAGAGATTACAAGTGCTTCAGGGTCGCCTCTAGGCAGAACAATTTGCAATCATTAGTACATATTATACAATTCTCAATAGTTTTGATTAAACAATTTCATTAAAACCAAGTATCCTTGACAAGAAAATTCAAAATCTCCAATGCCCCGAAGTCCATAGCTTTAGGTAGATTGACACAACACTCAGAATGCTTCACTTTGGGTTGTGAATTAGGAATGGTAAACTGGTAAAATCACCACAAACAGTCTAAACCCTCAAAAGCTCGACAATACGAGCTTTTTGAACACGGGCTGAAGAAATTCAAAGCCATGTATCACAGGGCATGCAAGATAATGAAATTACTTAAACTGTATAAATAACAAACCATAGTCATAGTGCTAGTTTAATATGTATTCAGTCATTACACACTAGCCTAGTAATCTTTAACAACTAATTAGACACAAGTAAACAAGCAAGAGTATGTGGGCATCAAACCCACTCTAAATTTCAAAGAAAAAAGAAAAGAAATACAGTTGTTAAAAATTAATCACTGGGGCTGGAAAGATGGATCAGCAGTTAAGAGCACTGGCTGCTCTTCCAATGGACCTCAGTTCAATTCCCAGCACCTACATGGCAGCTCACACCTGTCTGTATCTGGTTCCAAGGAATCAGATGCCCTCTTCTAGCCTCTGTGGCACCAGGCACACAAGGGGTGAACAGACAGACTTTCAGGTGCAACACTCTGTATAAAATAAAAAAAAAAAATCTTTTTTTCCTTTTATAGGAAATAGATTCTTTTCTCGTAGACTATGTCCTGATTATAGTTTCCCCTCCCTCAACTCCTCCCATTCCTGCCAACATCTACTCCCTTTCTGTCTCTCATTAGAAAAGAATGGGCTTCAAAGTGATAACAACCAAACATGACAAAATGAAATATAGTAAGATGGATTTGGACATGGCAACAGGAGGAAAGGAGTCCTAGGAGCAGGCTCAAGATTCAGAGACCCACTCACTCTCATACTCAGGAGTCCCAAGAAAATACTAAGCTAAAAGCTGTAATATACATGTGGAGGACATGGTGGAAACCAATGTAGGCCCTGTGCTTGCTACTTCAGTCTCTTGTGCGCTCATCTGTGTCTTGCTTAGTTGACTCAGAGGGAATTGTTTTTTAATCATGAGAGGAAGAGTAATGTCTTAATAAAAAAAATACCAATATTTCATTTCAATTTAGCTTATATTATAAAATAAATGAAAGCTCCTCTGCCCACAAGTGCAGAGCCTTTGACAACTTCTCCTCTGCCCTTACATGCAGCCTTACCTTCTTTTCTACTGTCTCCTACTCTGACTCAGTTTCTCAAACATGCCTACTTATGTCTACCCTGAACTCATGAATTTTTACAACTCCGCCTGAAGTTGTTCTACCTCAAAACAGGGCTGATGCTGAGAAACCATTTGTCTTGATGAGGTCAACTTAATCCATACCTAGATCCGGCCCTCAGCTTTACAAACATGGAACTGGAATTTTGTTTCTTCTAAAGACTGAGTAGAGTCATTTCTCAGCAGGAGAACAATGCATAAAGAAATTAATGTACAGAACAGAATGCCATTCAGTTAACTATGTCTATTTGCAACAAGAACTATAACTACCATATGGATCAAAATCACGGCAGTATAACCAATATCAATACCCCTATAGACTACAGTGGAGCAAATGTTGTGTAATAAGCAGGAGACAGAGTTTGCATCTTGAAGTAATATTTAAATGTCCACTCACAGCAGTATGGCATGGCTAACTACACATCGTGGTCTTAGAAACCATGAAGCCAGGTGTGTCTCAGTCCTCTAAGCAGTATTAAGATGAAGGCAGCCAAGGCATACTGCCTTTTTTCCTCTGTCCAAACTCTCTCCTGATTGACACATTTCTATACATCAACTGCTATGTATACCAGATCTCTCTCTCTCTTATACAGGAGCCTGTCTGAGAAATTAATACTCTGGCTTTGAAAAATGTTTGATAATTTTGATTTATTTATTAGGAAATAACCTTTATTGCAAAGTCCCTAGGTAAGATAGTTGCCTTCCAATTATTCCTATGTACTTATCACTATATTATATCTTATTATTCCTTCCTGCCTACTATTGTACTACATCGTATTCTTTAAAGTTTATTCTTCAAGATCCACTACCACTTCTTAGTCATCAAAAGCATGTTATTTATATCAATTTTTAGTTTACCAAATCTTAATGTAATTATGTGTCCATGCATCTTTAACCCACAAATATTGCTTGTGTTTGTTCTTAAATTCCCACACTTGGCTGAATAAATGATTTTGATATTTTTTGTGAAGACTCAACTTCAACATTGTAAAGACAATCTCATGAATTCCCATGCAGGTCTATACTTTCTGAGGCATTAAGTGGCTATGGTGGCCTCACTGATACAGTGTTAAAAGGGTGCTCTATCAGAAGGTACTGATGCATGGGAGACTGTCTACCTTCTAAACCTCAGGAATTCACAATGGCTTTCTAAAGGAATTCTTTTCTGTCACACACAGCCATCTCTTATATAATATCTTTATGTCCCACAACACTCACTCTCTCCATTGTTTGAAGACTGTAAGGAGACACAACTGTAATAAAAATATAACAGCTTCAAAAATAAGGAACAAAACCAAAATGCTACCTCATAACAGGCACTGGGACACAGACTATAACCTCAAGGAATTGAAGGCTGAGGCAGGAGGATTGAAAGTTAAAGCCCTGTCTTGTCTTCATAGCAGTCCAAAGCCAGCATAGACAAATTAGACTTTGTCTCAAAATGGAAAAACAAGAAATATTTTCAAAGAACAATAACAAGCTGGGCATGGTAGTACACATCTTTAATTCTAGCACTCCACAGGCAGAAGCAGGCAGATTTCTATGAGTTTGAAGCCAGCCTGGTCTATAGAGTGAGTTCCAGTACAGCCTGGGCTACATAGTGAGACCCAGACTTGAAAAGGAGAAGGAGAGAGGAAGGGAGGGAGAGAGAGAAAAGACAAAAAGGAAAGAGAAAGAGAATACAGCAACCACAGAGATGTTATAGCTCAGTGGTGGATAACATGCCTACCATAAGCGAGGCCCTGGGTTCACCCCAGTACGGCAGAATGCCGTCTATTTGTGGGAGTTCCGGAGATACTGTCAATGTCTTAACAGTTTTAAAAATGACATTTTGTTTCCAACATACCTATTACCTGAAATAAACCATTTTCTTATACTTTAACAAAAATATTTTTTAAATAAAATGCTTATAGCCTAAGTAAAGCATTTATTTTCAAATAAATTTTCAAAAGTAATCATTTTCTTTAACTGAAAACTAACTTCAATTAGCAAATATGAAATCTCTCCATCCTAAGACCATCTATAACACATTGCTGGGGGAGGAGAGATACAAGAAGAAAACATGGGGAACATACACTATTAAAGAGTGAAACCAAAGCCAGTAAGATTTAATTAAAATTCCCTGGCAGCATGGCTGCACACTGGAGCTACACACATCAGTCAGGAAGTTGGGATGAGGAATATTCCATAACTTAGGAAAACAGCTGACTCTGGCTTTAAATTCCAGACAGTAATATTACACAGCAAATTATGAAACCTTCCTGAACAAAAATTGGGCCTGTCTACAAGTCATTTACCTGACTCTGGAAAGAAGACGCCCATTCCTCATGCCAACGGCAGCAAGAAAGCTAAGCACGCTGAATGTCACCCATGGAGAAAAGGCATCCACTCTAAGTTTTGTTAGAAACGTAGAAACAAAGGTACCAAACTGTAACCCCAACTGTCTTGCAAATTAGGCAAAAGTAAACTATTATTTCTCGAAATGTTTTCTAGTGCTTGTCACATCATAACCATTTTGTTCAAACCTAAGTAAACACAGATGTACATGATAGTAAATTCCGTAAACTCAAAGTAGAGCCATATACATGTATGTTGATATAAAAACTGAATGGGCTCTTTTCTGTGGCGCCTCCTAGGCGGTCGGCTGTGTCAAGATGAAGCTGATTATCTCCTTCCCTGCCACCGGCTCTCAGAAACTCATCCAAGTGGATGATGAGCGCAAGCTTCGTATGTTCCATGAGAAGCGCACAACCTCAAAAGTAGCTGCCAGTGCACTAGATGAAGAGTGGAAGGGTTATGTGGTCCGAATCAGTGGCGAGAATGACAAACAAGGTTTTCCCATGAAGCAAGGCGTGTTGACCCACGGCAGAGTGCGCCTGCTGTTGAGTAAGGGCCATTCTTGTTATAGACCAAGGAGAACTGGAGAGAGGAAGCGCAAGTCTGTTCGAGGGATGTATCGTGGATGCCAATCTCAATGTTCTCAACTTGGTTATTGTAAACAAAGGAGAGAAGGATATTCCTGGACTGACAGATACTGATGGGCCTCGTCGGTTGGGACCTAAAAGAGCTAGCAGAATCAGAAAGCTTTTTAATCTCTCTAAAGAAGATGATGTCCGCCAATACGTGGTCAGACAGC